AAAAAAAAAAAAAAAGCAATTGGGAGACTCGGTAAGGAGGTGGAATGGGGCCTTTGCGAGCGTAAGGCGGCTGCTTTTACAGCACACAGATTTCCTAATACGCAGGAAGTGTCCATTCTAAACTAATGACAAAGTGCAGCATAGTAGATATGGAAGCCAGTCCCCGAGTTGCTTACTATCATCGTCAGGCACTGTGCACACGTAACTGTCTGTGCCTCACTTTTATACGACGGCCGGCGGTGGGTGTGTGCACGCCAGCATCACCAGCCCTGGGCAATGCGCCGCACGACCGCAGGGCCAGGATGGGAACCTGCCAGCTCCTAATCTTAGGGGACACTGTCTCGCGCATGGTCTGTCCGTGGCCAGGGCGTCCTTCCCAGCACGTGACTCATCTCACCTCCTAGGGCAGGACCGAGCCTCACCTAGCAGCCGGGGAGGAAGGCGGCGTGTCCCGTCCCAGGTGGCCTGCAGGTGCTTCATCTTTCTGAAGGGGGGGAAAGGCCTCCAAAAGAGGGCATTTTCAGAAAGCCAGTTCTAGTTCACGGAGCCTTATGTCTGTCAAATGAACATGACAATAGTTGTTGATAAGGATACCAAGCTGTCCCCCAATTGGAATTATGTTAAATGAATCTGATTAAGAATATAATGAAACAGCCCTGGCTGGGTAGCTCAGCTGGGTAGTGTCCTCCGGATACACCAAGGTTTCAGGTTCAGTCCCGGTCAGGGCACCTGCAGGAATCAACCGATGAATGCACAAATAGGTGGAACAACAGATCTCTCTCCCTCTCTTTTCCTCTCTCTAAAGTAAATAAATAAAAATTAAAAACAAATCATGAAACATGTAGAACATTAAGATTTTTGTTGAAAATGTTTAAAATAAGCTCTGGTTTTTATCAGTTACTCTCTAGATGTAGTTTACCTTTTTAGGTTTCCAGTGACCTAGTAAGCTGAGTTTTCAGGGACACTCCCACTTTTTGTACTTGCTTTATATTTATTTTTTCATTCATTTGTTTAACAAAAGCTGCTAGGAGCCAGGCGTATTACCAGACAGTGTTGATATAAAGGTGAATTACACAGACGTGGATGGCCGTTTCTCAGAGCTAATGAGTATCAATTAGGAGACAGTGAAAAAGTAGGTAATGACCAAGGCATAGTGTATTTTGCCTTTGATTAAGTGCTGTACCTCTGTAAATTCAACATGTTAATTGTTTTCAACCTAGAATTTATATATTCCTGCTGGCATGTCAAGAAAGAGTCATTAGGATTTGGCTGTGGGCTTAAAAAATATTAGTTAAAAAATCAAAGTATATTTAATTCATGCATTAATTATAAGAACCTAAAGAATAAAAAATGTAAATTAAAATATATCTTTACCTTTAAATATAAAAGAGGTGAAAACATTATAATAGCAGCTTACTTCTAAGGCCCTTTTAGCCCTTCAGCGACTTTTAGGTTCTCAGGAACTTAATAATAGATATGTAAAGGAGACATTGATTTATGCCCCTGACACCGTTTAAAATTGCTGACTTTAAAAAGTTAAATTTATTGTAGTATATTACATACTTCTTAAATCAATATATTTGAGTCTTTTAGGAAAAAAACAGGTCTTATTGCTGTAACAAATGACCACAAAGTTTGCTGCTCAAGACAACAATGACATTTTATCTTACTCTCATCTGGGTTCTGTGTCATTCTGGTTCTATGGTTGAAGGTCAGCAAACCTCCTGGAACTGGGATGACTGAAGGTCAGAGTCTGCATCTTCTGAAGTTAGTTCCTGGGGTTCTTATACAAACGTGCTGTTTATTTATAAGCTACATGTCAGTCAGAGTCAGCATTTACAGAAACACTATTAAAAGAATGGTGCAGTGAGTTATAATTCCCCACTGTTACAAATATATTCAATAAACATTTAGAGAGTATTTGTCTATGATTCCTCTCATCAGTAACTTAACATATTTTCTCTTTGTATTATTTTTTTATTTGCTAAAATGTAACAAATGACCA